TTTATTGGAAAAGGGAAGTGAAAATCTTCCAGTGTCCACCTGGCCGACAATTTTCCTGATTAATTGTCCGTTCACTTTGTGGTTTTGGACATTGCGGTGTGCAAAATTGATTGTCATATTCGCCAACAAATTCACAGTCACTACACTTGACAGCAGTTCCCTATGAAGCAAGTTGAAGTTCTAGACGTCAGTGGGGGGGATATATTAGTTTGATATAAGCAAGTTTGATATAAATCCATATCAAGTGCAAGGATTACTGTTACCAACGTCAGTTAGGAGTAGACTGTCTCACAACATAGGAAAAGCTAGGTGGTGAAAGAAGACCAAGGTCCATTCAGTTTGCCTTTGACCATCCTGGCAGTCGCTTGCACATATCATGCCCTGAACTACTCGTACACTGTATCCCAAAATATTACTTCCTAAAAGAAATCTATCTCATTTGCATTTGAAAGAATCAACACTTTCTACTTCCACCGTCTCTCCAGGGAGCCTTTTCCACAGATTTACCACAGATTTACCACTTTCGCATAGATTTCAGTCTACATGAAGATGGTGGCGATTTAAAAACAGTACGATAATGTTTTTCTGGGCTCCTGAAAGTGCCCTGATATATAACAACAAAATTACATATGTATAGTGCCTTTCACGTCGGGAGGACGTCCCAAGGTGCTGGAAAGTCAGAGGTTCAAGCCCTAGCTGGGGTTCGGGATCGGGGAGGGTAGAGGGCAGGGGGGAAGCAGGGAGATTGAAAGCACGGTAAAAGGAGGGTCTTGAGATGGGTGTTGAAGGAGGGAAGGGAGGGGGCGAGGCGGAGGGACTGCGGGATGGAATTCCAGAGGGTGGGAGCAGAGTGGCTGAAGCCCGCCGGCCAATAGTGGGGCTGGTGAGGCGGGGAATGTGAAGCAGCTGGAGCCCGCTGAGCGGAGGGAGCAAATGAACAGGATGGTAGGGGGTTAAGAGGTTGCAGAGGTCGGGGATGGCAAGACCTTGAAGGGCTTTAAAGTGTAAAGTGAATTTTTGTATATTTTTGTGGTCAAGACACGGCAGCCAAAACACGGGACACACAGTGTCCCACAGACAGTCGTGGATTGAGTGACCACATTTTTTTTGAGGGATTATTAGCCCCGGAAAAGCGATTCATCAATCGACTAACAACCGGCTTCCTACTTACTGCTAGGTAAACAGAGACAGGTGGAGTAAGGAAACTTGCCTAATATTTTGCCCTGCATGGGAATGAAACCCAGCTCCTCTCGCTTGCAAGACGAGCGCCCTAACCAACGCACTACAGGACTCCAAAACGGAAACTGTGAGCGATTCACAATCAAGCTAATGTTATAGCCAAATGTGCTATACCCCTGCCCCGGCTTCCAGACATATCCTCACCATGTCTCACCTCACAGGTCTGGAACATGCTAACGTCTGATAGTTTTACACTACCATCGCCTCCCAAGAGGGGCTTGTCTGTAGTGTAAATGTGAGGTGGAGTTCTGTAGCTCAGTGGTTAGAGCGCTCGCCTTGCAAGCGAGAGGACCTGGGTTTGATTCCTGAGCTGGGCAAAACTTTAGACAAGTTTCCTTACTCCACACGCCTCAGTTTACCTAGCAGTACATAGGAACCTGGTTGTTAGTTGATTGGCGGAGCGCTTTTCGGTGGCAATAATCCCTTCAAGAAATATCTACACTACTACTAATAATTTGGTCACTCTATCCACGACTGTTTGTGGGACGCTGCTGTACTCAATTGGCTGCCGTGTTTCGCCCACAGTCAATTCATTTTACAATATTGTGTGAAGCGCTTTGAGACGTCTCAATGAAGTGATAAGGCACTGTATCAAATGCAAGTGTTATTATCATTAGTACAACACACTCTGAGGGGCAGAGAGAGAGAGGGGGCAATGCTAACTGGCAGTTCCTTGATCTCGGAGCTCTCTACATGTGATTGGGTCGTTGTGAAGCGATCAGTCTGTAATGGGATGCAGCTTTGATCCCTTGTGCATGGCAGAGACACATAGCCTGGCACTCAGCGCCTGGCTCTGCCTCACTCCTGGGGGAAGCGGACACCCTAATTAAATTAGGGCCAGGATTGGCGGCTTTAATTTGTTCAGATCAATGAGATTAAATGTTTAACAGCTCGGGGCCTGACTCCAGTACGTAGCTGGTATCCCCCATCCCCCCCCCACCTCATGGAGTAATTCTTTCCTATGTGAATTTATGCATGAGGTGGTTTCTGTGCCTGAATCCAGGTTTGTGCAGATTCTTTGCAGCTTCAGTCATAAATCGCTCCGTTCCTGCCTTGAAATAATAATAATGATAATAATCCTTGCAATTGTTATAGCGCTTTTCACGTCTTCGAGACGTCTCAAAGCGCTTCACAGAATATACTGTAAAGTGAATTAACACACAACAGTGGCCCACAAGCAATGGTGGATTGGGTGACCACATGTTTTTGGGAGGGATTATTACCCGCAGAAAACAATCCGCCAATCAATTAACAACTGGGTTCCCACTTACTGCTGGTGAACAGAGATGTGTGGAGTAAGGAAACTCGCCCAACATTTCACCCTGCCTGGGAATCGAGCCCAGGTCCTCTCGCTTGCGAGGCGAGTGCTCTGACCACTGAGCTACAGGAACTTGTACAAGGAGTACACGCTGTAGGAGAAGGACGCTCAATGTAGTTTTGTCCCTCCATGCTCTTGTCACGACACGATAAGGCACTATATCAAATACAAGGATTATTATTATTTTTAACTCTCTTCCCAAATGCCTCCCTCTCGCTCCCTCTCGCTCCTCCTTCAAAACCCGTCTAAAAACCTCTCTCACTAATCGTGTTTTGGTCGCCTCTCCCTCCCTCCAATCTCTTACCCAGCTCAGTATTTCACTCACTCTCCCTTTACTGTACCTTGCCCCGTGCCACTTGCCCTCTCAGTTTAAAGCCAGCCCGTCTTCACCACAGGCTTCTGCACTCCAGTTCTCAGGCCTCTCTCTACCACACAACTTGGCCGCTTTAAACCCATCAATCGCCAATTTGGAAGGTGTTTGTTTTCAAGAGCTGTGGAAATCAGCTTCCAAATGATGTCAGAATTTTAACAATTTCTCCAAATTGTGAACCGTCTGAAAATTTAAGGTAATGTTGTTCACAATTGTGAGGGGTTTAGATCAGGTACTTTGGGACTCAGGAACTAGACGGCATCGGGTTAAGACTATTCCAGTCAACCTGATATGTGCCCTGAATGGGGATGTGGAGCCAGGGCGGCTATCAGGCCTATGTGACTCTTGCATTCTCTTTCTCTCTCTGCTATACAAATGTAATTTTGTTGTTGTTGTTGTGGCTGTCTCTCACTCTCTGTGTCTGTATGTATTTCTGTCTGTCTGTCTGTCTCCCTCATATACTCTTTGTGTGTCTCTCTGGCACTCTGTCTCTCCCTCTAACCCCCTCTCTCCCCCACTTAACCCCTCTCTCTCCCTCTAACCCCCCCCCCTCTCTCTCCTCCCCTCTAACCCCCCCCCTCTCTCTCCTCCCCTCTAACCCCCCCCCTCTCTCTCCTCCCCTCTAACCCTCCCCCCACTCTCTCCAATCTCTCTATCTCCAATCTCTCTCTCTCCCCACCTCTCTTCCTCCCTCTCGCGCTCTCCTCTTCTCCCCTTTCTCTCTCCCCCTTCTCTCTCTCTCTTTACCCCCCATTCCCCCTCTCTCCCAATCAGCCGCGCAGGTCACTATCTGTAGTGGCAGAAGCCGGTGGTTGCTGAGGACTTGGTTGATAAGAGAGGCGCTTGCCTTCCTGACAGACTGCAGTAACGGCTGGTATTATTTCCACTCTCTGCGCTGCGTCCTCCCAACAGCCGGCTCTCCCGCTGCCCTGAGAGGATGTTCACCAGGGAGAGAGGGAGCGGAAGCTGGAATGTTGAAAATGGTCTCGGGCTGGATAAAATCACCGGCCGGGCCGGATGTGGCCCGCGGGCCTTTCTGAAATAGGGAATTTGGCCCGCGGCAACCAAACAGTTAAACCACCCTGGGTTACATAGAGGCTGATTCCCACTGCTCTCTCACCCCCTAACACTCACAGTCTCACACCCTCACTCCCTCACAGTCTCACCCCCTCACACTCACTGTCTCACCCCCTCACACTCACTGTCTCACACCCTCACACTCACTGTCTCACACCCTCACACTGACTGTCTCACACCCTCACACTCACTGTCTCACACCCTCACACTCACTGTCTCACCCCCTAACACTCACTCTCTCACACTCACTCTCTCACCCCCTCACACTCACTGTCTCACCCCCTCGCACTCACTGTCTCACCCCCTAACACTCACTCTCTCACCCCCTAACACTCACTCTCTCACCCCCTCACACTCACTGTCTCACCCCCTAACACTCACTGTCTCGCCCCCTCACACTCACTCTCTCGCCCCCTCACACTCACTCTCTCAACTCCTCACACTCTCTCACCCCCTTACATTCACTCTCTCACCCCCTCACACTCATTCTCTCAACCCTCACACTCACTCTCTTACCCAATCACATTCATAAATAAAAAAAAATATTTGGTCGCCCAATCCACACTGTTCGTGGACACCGCCACACAAAGGTTGAACCACCCTGGGTTAGCTAGAGGTTCATTCCCACTGCTCTCTCACCCCCTCACACTCACTGTCTCACTCCCACACACTCACTCTCTCACCCCCACACACTCACTGCCTCACCCTCTCACACTCACTCTCCCCTCCCATACTCTCCCCCCTCACACTCATTCTCTCATCCCCTCATTCTCACTCTCCCCTCAAACTCTCTCCCCCTCACACTCTCAGCCCCTCACATTTACTCTCTCACCCCCTCACACTCACTCTTTCTCACCCCCTCACACTCACTCTCTCTCCCCCTCTCACTCACTCTCTTTCCCCCTTACAATCGTTTTCTGATCTCCTGACTCCCTGATCCCAAGCCTCTCTTCCTCGCTGTGCTCTGTGCTATAGTAACAGGTGTTCTCTCTGCAGGGCATTCTCCTGAAGCGCAGCGGAAAGTCCCTCAACAAGGAATGGAAGAAGAAATATGTCACACTTTGCGACAACGGAGTCCTGACCTACCACCCCAGTTTACACGTGAGTCTCAATCACCTCCATTTACCCTGACTTCCTGAAGTCTTTCTCAGCCTGGCTTAGCCACTCTCAGTCACTCACAGTCACTCTCAGCCACTCACAGCCACGCTCAATGGCTCACAGTCACTCTCAGACACTCACAGTCACTCTAAGCCACTCACAGCCACTCTTGCCTCTGGAGTTCCTCATGTCGGGGGTTTTAGCTGACCCTGCAGTGCGGTACTTATCGTGGTTGCTATCCTTCACTGCGACATTAAACTAGGTCCAGTCTGTTCAGGTGGTTGTTAAGGATGGAGCGGTTGTGTTTGAGAGACGGCTTCGCATGGCTCCTTCATTAACGTGAAAGTGAAGCGGGAGGAGAGAGGTGAGGGATTTTGGAAGAGTTCCAGCGAGCGGGGTCAAAATGGCTGGAAGCTCACCCACTGGATGAGGTGCACAGTGTGTGTGTGAGCAGGACCGCAGCACATCCCAGACATAGGGTGGGGCACGTGTTTGGTGGGCATTTGAAAGGAAGGAATCATACAAATGGTTGTATGGTTTCACCCTCAAAATACACAGTCAGTATATTACACTTAACAGTATATTTTGTGAAGCGCTTTGAGACGTCTCAACGATGTGATAAGGCACTATGTGAAGCCCAGATGAGGCCATTCAGCCCATTATTTCCTGGGGGTGTTTTACTCCTGTGAGAAGCTTTCCATCCTAATCTCAGTCCCGGTCCCCTCTATTGCTCTTCCACTCTTTGAGTCTAATCCTCTGGCTGGGAGAAGACATTCCAACTTCTCCTCTCACTCCTCTAGACACAATTGTGAACCACACCCTCCTCAACATCCTCGTTCTCAATCCCTCCATAGTCTTGCCCCACCTTAAGTCTATGACCTTCTTAAACCCTTCCAACCCGCCTGCTTCAGGTCCCCACCCTGCCCGCCATGCAATTGGCAATTAGCCCTTCGTGCTTTATGCTCCCACTCTTTGAAACTCCATCCTAGAGTCCCTTCGCCTCGCTCCCTCCCCTGCCTCCCTCAAGGCCCATATCAAGACCTTCCTCTTTGACCGTGCCTTCAGCCACATTCCCACCGCACCCACACCCCTTGATCCCACGCCTCCCAAATCCAACCCTCAGCTCAGGGCAATTACTCGCTTGTCCAACACCTTGGTACATCCTCCTGACGTGAAAGGAGCTGAATAAATGCAAATTGTAGTTGTTTAAAGAAGTTCCACCACTGGAGACGGAGACGGCAGAATAGGTGGTGAGAGGGGTGTGTGCTCGGGTGCCAGGTTGTGAAGAGAAGCCCCTCCATATCTGCTGTGTTTAGCACTCAGCTGGTGTGGGTGAGTGGAGTGCTGTAGGCTAGTGGTTAAAGCAAGCAAGATGATCTGGGTTAATTCTAGACAGGGCAAAATGTTGGACAAGTTTCCTTATTCCACACTCTGCTGTTTATGTAGCAGTGAGTAGGAACTTGGTTGTTAGTCGATCGGCAGATCGCTTTCAGGGTAATAATAATGTCTCNAAAAAAACTGGTCACTCAATCCACGACTGTTTGTGGGACGCTGCTGTGTGCAATTGGCTGCCATGTTTTGCCCACAAAATATACAGTCAATTCACTTTACAGTGTATCCTGTGAAGCGCTTTGAGACGTCTCGAAGACGTGATAAGACTCTATATCAAATGCAAGGTTTATTATTATGATGATGAGCTTCTCATCGCCTGTCACTCACGGCTCTGGCTCCTCATACTGCCCTTTGCCAGAGCCAAGGCAGCAGTGGAGCCAGCATTAGCCCTAATGGCCATTAGTAGTAAAGCTGTGGAAATGTAAATTAATATACAATCAAGCATTATCTTATACATTTCCGGCACGCATGGCAAGCTTTCTAATACTTTTTGAATTACTGGGAGCTGCTGATTTATTATCAGGTTACGGTCACTTGAAGAGCACTTCAGCGAGATTCTTCAGACGAGGAGTGAAACACTGTACTCAGAAGTGCTGCCTGTTAAGTTCTGAGTAAATATAGAAACTAGGCATTAAAGGCCGAGGATTAGTCAACCTTGTGTGGCCGCACTCTCCTTGACTGTCTCTGACTCGCCCTCCTACCACAGGCTGTATTCGGTGCAGTCGAAGAGGTAAGTCTTTAGCTGGGAGTTAAAGATAGAGAAGGCCTGAGTGAGTGGGAAAGGCAGTCTCACTAGTCCTTCATGGTTTCCTTTGTCGCTAAACAGTGAACAGTATCTGTTGTAGAGAATAACAGAGAGGGAGAAAAAAATGTTTTTCATTTTTAGAGCAGCTTGTGATATCAGAGCACTTCATAGAATCTTATAGCTCCGAAGGCGGCCATTCGTGCCTGTGCTGGCTCTTTGAAAGAGCCATCAACTAGTCCGATTCCCCCGCTCTTACTCCATAGCTCATTTTTAACAGGTAATTCTTATCGTCTCAGCCGTGCTTCATTGGTAGCACTCTCATATCCGAGTCAGAAGGTTGTGGGTTCAAGCCCCGTGTCAGGAACTTTGAACTCACAGTCTAGCTGACAGTCCAATACAGTGCTGAAGGAAGGTACTGCCCTTTGGATGACATATTAAACCAAGGTCCCAGCTCCCCGTTTAAATGTTCATTGCTGCCTCATGCTGTTTTGACATAGTGAACAACAAGTTAACTGACATCCCTAGATCTCCTCCAGCTTCCCTCTTGGCAACTTCTATCCTGTCTATCCTCCTTGGGGTAACTGGGGTCTCCTGGGAGCTGAACTGGCTCCAAGGTGATATTGGCAATGGAATGTCGGAATCGAGCCCACCCTCTGTGCTGGTCTCGGTAGTCCAGTTCCTGACCCAGGCGGGTCTGCAGTACACCAGGGCACTGTGGCTGTTTTGATGTGCCCAAATCAGCTGCTTACATTTGCCGGCAAAAAACAGTCACTACACTTGGCAGTAATCTGTGTGTTGCATTTTGAGATGTTAAACGTTATCAAACGAATGGCAAGTTCTCCCTTGGCTGGCGGTTCAGCGGTGTGGAATGTGTTTGATTTGCCTCCCCAGCGCCAACCATGTGGTCCAAGTCTCCACGATCGGCGAGATCGCTGAGCAGTGTAATGGCTGTCAGGCTGCTGTCGGAGTTTCTCTCTCTCTCTTCCAGCGCCTGCTCACGCGCGGTTGATGAGCGGAGACGGAGGCTGGGTCCTTGCCGGCAGAAATTCACACGTTCACCCTTCTGCTAATTCTGATCTGCGGCATCAATTAAATTGTTTGTAGAAACTAATTGAATGTGGCTTAATCACACATCTTAATAGCTTTACACGCTTTGAACTTCCTGTTAATTCGAGTAATAAAATAAAATGACTGAGCTGGCTGTGTAATTAGCAAGAGAAGAAATTACGGCTTTATGGCATGTAATAAAGGCACAGAGTTGGCCCGGGTTTGCGATGGACAGTGACTGGGATCTGCTGATTTGGGCTTTTTCCTCCATCTTTGCCAAGCTTTTCCCTGATTATGGTTGTTTTAAAGGAACAGGTCTTTTCCAAAACATTATAGCTTGGGAGCTTGGCAGCACAAGCCATTGGTGAGGTCCCAGTTGGAGTATTGTGTCCAACTTGGGTGCCCCATTTTAGAGAGTTCTGTAGCTCAGTGGTTAGAGCACTCGCCTCACAAGCGAGAGGACCTGGGTTTGATTCCCAGACAGGGCAAGACCTTTGGCAAGTTTCCTTGTTCCACACACCTTCGATAACCTAGCAGTAAGTAGGAATCCAGTTGATAGTTGATTGGCGGATTGCTTTCCGGGGGTAATAATCCCTTCAAAAATAATGATAATTTGGTCAAATGGGCATAGGAGGCAAGGAGAACGTGGGAGAGGAGGACAGAGTGGGATAATGAAGGGTGGGGGACAAAGATGGGGAATTTGGGGGGAAAACAGCTCGGGTCGGGGGCGGCAGCCAAAACATGTACGCCGAGACTGAAGGCAAAGCGATCAGCGGGACATAGTCAGTTTACAGGCATGGAGACAGCGCTGAGGGGAGAGGTGGGGGAGCCTTTTGTTCAGGCAGTGATGACCACGACTCCCGCGGCGATTCCCGCTCACCTGCCGCCCACAACTAACCTCGCCCCGAGATCTCGGCCTTGTTGCTTCTCGCCCGTCTCAATCCCACCGGTTCCTGCTGACCTTGCTAATCTTTAGCCTCTCTCTCACTCCGTTAGGATTACATGCAGAACGTGCACGGTAAAGAGATCGACCTGCTGAGAACAACAGTCAAGGTCCCGGGCAAGAGGCCCCCGAGAGCCACTGTAGTCAACGCTCCGACTGCCAGCCCCAAAACCAACGGCCTGACCAAGGACAGGAGCAATTTACAGCTCTCTGGCAACCAGGGTAAGTCACCCCTCGCCACACCATGTCAGTGGTAATGCTGTGTCTGGTTACACTTCCTGGTGGAATGTTATCCGTGGCGAAGAAGCTGAAGTGCCGATTGGAGTCGAGGCATTCACTGGGTTCTTGTCAATGGTGCTGTAAAATTGGTCCATTGTACATACTGTTTGCTGGTTTGGTGCTGGTGCACGCAGTCAGGTAATGTGTGCAGCTGCGCTGTGTGCAGTGCAGTGCTGGGGTATGGGCCAAATCAATAGATACTATTGATCGATAGATACCTGACCACTGTATGATATCAGAGGTGTGTCAGTCCTGGTGGATGTGGTGTTAGTGAATGTTAAAATAATAATAATAATACTTGCATTTGATTTATGGAGTCCTGTAGCTCAGTGGTTACAGCACTCGCCTCGCAAGCGACAGGACCTGGGTTTGATTCCCGGCAGGGCGAAACTTTGGGCAAGTTTCCTTACTCCACACACCTCTGTTCACCTGGCAGTAAGTAGGAACTCGGTTGTCAGTCGATTGGTGGATCGCTTTCCCGGGGTAATAATCCCTTACAAAAAATAATAATAATAATTTGGTCACGCAATCCACGACTGTTTGTGGGACACTGCTGTCTGCAATTGGCTGCCGAGTTTCGTCCACAAAACACACAGTCAATTAATTTTACAGTGTATTGTGTGAAGCGCTTTGAGACGTCTAGAAAGACGTGATAAGGCGCTATATCAAATGCAAGGATTATTATTTATTATTATATAGCACCTAGGAAGACAGTGGAAGCAGAGTTATTTCTTTCAGTACAAAATAATATCTTGGGATACAGTATATAGTTTGGGACACGACATGTCAAGCGGCTGTTAGATTGGTGGAAGGTGAACTGGATGGACATTGGCTCTTTCTCTATGTTCTTATGTTAATTGCAGGTAGGGGAGTTCTACTTTCTACTCCGAGCCCTGACTTGGAGCCTCTGTGGTGGCTAGAGGCAGAGCAAGGTGGATTACGAGCTAGTCGTGCAGGGTTGATGGCACAGTGGCATCCCAGTCACATTGTTGCTCGCCCACAAAGGTTAATTAGGCTGGAGAGCGGGAACGAGCTGCGAATGGGGCGTGAGAGAGCGTGGTTTGTATCCGAGCTCACAAACAATTAACCTTCTAAACAAAGCCTCGGTGTGTGGGAGGGGAGTGGGCAATCTGTTATAGCCTCCCTGACGTTCAGAACTCCTCTCCGCCACGCTGCCTCTTCTGCTAGATTACTGGGGAGGCGTTGTTAACTCTTTCTGTGCCAGGCCTATACCAGCACTTCACTGTGGTGTGTAGTCATTAATAATAATAAGCCTTGCATTTGATATAGCGCCTTATATCAAATGACTGTTTGTGGGACACTGCTGTGCGCAATTGGCTGCCATGTTCCACCCACAAAATATACAGTCAATTCTCTTTACAGTATATCCTGTGAAGCGCTTTGAGATGTCTCGAAGATGTGATAAGACTCTATATCAAATGCCAGGATTATTATTATCACATTGTTGAGCGCTTCACAGAATACATTGTAAAGTGAATTGACTTCACTTTACAATGTATTATGTATTTGTGGGCGAAACGCAGCACCAATTGCGCACAGCAATTGTTGCATTCTTCCTCCCATTGACCCTGACCCCTTCCAGCGATGTCCCCGGCGACGACAAAAGTGCCCAACCCCTCACAGGCAGTCAGCACCTAGTCAGAGCCAGGCCAGGCTGTGCGCTCACTAAATGGGACGTTGTTTGCAGTAATCCTTGTGTAACACTGACCTTCAAAGAGCTTCATGGGGAATCGCTGTCAAGTACAGTGACTGTCTGTTTGTAAGCAAATGCAGCAGCTAATTTGCACACAGCAAGATCCCACACACATAGCTCTGAAATAAATGACCAATTAATCTGGGATTGGTGACCAGGGCAGCGGGAGGAACTCCCTCCTCTTTTCACTCAGTAGCTGACTGGAGCTGTGGGTAATGATGGAATGAGGTAGGTACGAAAATAGAGCCCAAGGCAGGGACCTTGAGCTCACAATCTCACTGACACACGCTCCAGTGTACAACTGGGGGTAGCCTTGCTTCTCACAGCTGAAGTCTTTCAACAACAACAATAAATTGCATATATAATAATAATAATAATCCTTGATTTGATATAGCCCCTTAATCACGTGTTCGAGACGTCTCAAAACACTTCACAGAATATAATGTAAAGTGAATTGACTGTATATTTTGTGGGTGATACACAGCAGCCAAATGCACACAACAGTGTCCCACAAACAGTGGTGGAGTGAGTGACTAAATTATTATTATTTCTTTTAAGGGATTTTTACCTCCAGAAAGTGATTTGCCAATTGACCGACAATCGAGTTTCTACTAACTGCTGGTAAACAGAGGCGTGTGGAGTAATTGGGAAAGTGAAGGAAGTTTGTCTGTGTCCTGGCCAGTTCATCGGTCAGTCACCTCATGCATTTTGACTAATCGTTCCCCTCCCCACTTCTCTTCAGCTCCCACCTCAGCTCGGGTGCCGAGCCAGGACTGTTAAGCGCCTTGGGACACCCTCCCAATGTGAAAGGCGCTGTGTAAATGTAAATTTGTGGAGTCCTGTATCTTAGTGGTTAGAGCACTTGCCTCGCAAGTGAGAGTGTCCAGGTTCGGTTCCTGGGCAGAGCGAAACCTTAGGCTAATTTCCTTACTCTGTTTACCGAGCAGTAAGGAGGAACCCAGTCGTTTGGCCATCACGTTTCACCCACAAAATATACAGTTAACTCACTTTACAATATATTCTGTGCGGCGCTTTGAGACGTGTCACCGTCATGATAAGGCGCTGTATCAAATGCGAGGATTATTACTATTTTTATGAATTTGTATTGTTTTGCATGTTTGTGGGACCTTTTAGTGAACAAAATGGCTGCCACGTTTGCCTGGGAATAACTGGTGTGAATCACACTGAGACACTTGGATAGGGAATTGCTAGTTCTTTCTTCAACTTGTGCCTTCCCTTCCTGCCTGGTCCACAGTCAGCCTGTGCCAGGAATTAGCTACAGGGCTCCGGGTCAGTCAGAAGGCATTGCTTAAGATGAAGGCAGGCGCGGGCGGGGGCTGGTGTGGTGTGGTGCGTGCCCAGCGGGGCGGCTGAGTGCAGGGAAACGGCCGACCTGTTGCGGATCAGCTTGACTCAGAAGCCGGTTGTTGTTCAGCAGAGGCCGGCGATCTGTTAGACAGGGACCCGTGACTGTGTGCGGTACAGAGGCCACGAATTACAAGGAGAGGGAGATGGGAACGCATTAGCGGTAACGCCTCATTATCCCAGTGTGTGTGTAATGGCGGCAGCACTACAGGGGCCCTGTGTGTGTGTCGCGCCTCATGAATCCCCGGCAACAAAATTCTGTGGCCGGCTGATGGCAATTTGGATGTGGGGTGGGGGGGGGAGGGGGAGAACGCGTCCTTAACTGTAATTCCAGATTCAGAGGGAACTAAACGGGCAAGGATCGCTTTTCCGGGGGTAATAATTCCTTCCTCCAAAAAAAACCAATGACAATTTGGTCACTCAGTCCACGCCTGTGTGTGGGACACTGCTGTGCGCCATTGGCTGCCGTGTTTGTTCACAAAATATACAGTCAATTCACTTTACAGTGTATCCTGTGAAGCGCTTTGAGACGTCTCGAAGACGTGATCAGGAGCTGTGTCAAACACCAGCATTATTATTATTGTTATTATTAAGTGTGAGAGAGTGTCACAGACCAGGCACCAGGGTTACAGCAAGGAGTCAACAAGGAGGAGGGGGATCTGGGATGTTATTATTTAATATTAAGAATAATCCACACATTTGATCCTCCACTTCTCGGGGAAATGCTGTACTGTATAGTGACTGTGTATTTGTTACACAGAGTAATTTATGCAGCACAGAAACAGACTACTTGTGTTTACACTCCACACGGGTCTCCTACTCCCCTCTACTCTCTTCTTCCCCATTTATGCACGTAACGGCCTTTTTACAGTTAGAAGGTGCCCACCCGCTCCCCCTCAGCACTGCACTGGAGGGTTAGCCTGGCCTGTGAGCTTAAAGTCTCTGACGTGGAGCTCGAATCCACAAGCTTCTGACCTCCGGCGGAGGAGAGCGTGTGAGTGACTGAGCCGGGCTGGATTCCATGATACTCTAATACTGTATTAATTTGCCTGGAGCAGTGACCGACCGCTACTGCCCTCCTGTGGAAGGAATCTGATAACAGTAATAATATAATTATTAATAATAATAATCCTTGTGTTTGAAGTAGCGGCTTATCACATCGTTGAGACGTCTCAAAGTGCTTCAATGTAGGGAAACCTGCGTAAGGTTTTGTCCCGCACGGGAATCAAATCCAGGTCCTCTCGCTGGTGAGGGAGTGCTTTGGGACGTCCTCCCGACGTAAAAGGCACTCTATAAGTGTAATTTTGTTGTTGTTGTTGTCTAACCACTATGGGACTCCACAGTACAGTAATAGCCTTGTGTTTGATCCAGCACTGAGTTTCCTAACTCCACACACTTCTGTTTACCAGCAGTAAGAGGAACCCAGTTGTTAGTCAATTGGTGGATCGCTTTTCTGGGGGTAATAATCCCTTCAAAAAAAAATTAAAATAATAATTTGGTCACTCAATCCACGACTGTTTGTGGGACACTGCTGTGTGCAATTGGCTGCCGCGTTTCACCTACAATCAATTCACTTTACAATGTATTCTGTGAAGCGCTTTGAGACGTCTCAATGACACGATAAGGCACTGTATCAAAAGCAAGGATTATTATTATTCAAAATGCTCTGTGAAAAGGCTCTCTCTCTCTCTTTGACCTTTGGTCAGCACCTCAACCTGCCCTCCTCTCCTCCCATCTCAGCGATTCCCAGCATTGTGAAGCACTGTGATCCTTCCGTCCTAAGTGAAAGGTGCTGTGTATGAGCAGTGAGATTAGTGTACAGTTTGAAGTTGGAGACTCTGAAATGAAATCAGGTTTAAATGAT